GTATGTCTTTAGCTTTTTATTCTGTTTATGTGGCAGAAATAGCCATTCCAATATAATATCTTCCCTCTGCATCAGAATCCTTGAAGAGTATTCTCTGGATGGCAAGATAACCAGAATACAGTCTAAATTAGGGTCCACATGGTCTACATTGTGAGTCCAGTATTCTGCTTCCACCCATTGTAATTCTTTTTCCACTTCAGTGGACAATATTTGTGGACTGTCTAAGTCCTTGTCCCCTGTAAGGGCCATCTTTAAATGCTTAAAGTCCTTCCACTCCAATTGTTATCTGTAGTTGAGAAATTTCCTCTAGTAGCTTCTGCAGACTATTAAGTTTGATAACAATCTCTTCTAATTTGTACTCTTTGTGGCCTTATTTTTTGTGAGACTATCTTGTAACCTAAATAATTAATAGAATCTCCTCTTTGTATCTTTTCTGGGGCAATCTGTAATTCCCAATGAGGTAGAACTTCCTTCACTGTGCTTCACTGTCTCAAACATTCGTTCTAATGTTTCCTGCTTAGAAGACGACAATAAAATATTATCCATGATAAAGTATGGATTGTGGAAATTTTTTGCAAATTATCTTCAAAGGTTTTTTTGTACAAAGTGCTGGGACAGGTAGGACTATTTATCATTCCTTGTGGCAAAACCTTCCACTGAAATCTCTTAACTGGCTCTGAATTATTAAGAGTTGATATAGTAAACACAAATTTGTCCTTATCATTTTCTTGTAAAGGTATAGTGAAGAAACAATTTTTTAGATCAATGGCTATGATAGGCCATTCCTTAGGGATCAAGGAACGCAAAGGCCTTCCATGCTGTAGAGAGCCCATAGGCCGAATTACTTTATTGGTGGTTCTCGGGTCTGTCAGCATTCTCCACTCACCTGACTCCTTTTTGATAACAAATACAGGAGAATTTCAAGGGCTGGTATATTTTTTTATGTGCCCAGCATCTAGTTGTTCTTGCAATAGCTCTTCTAAAGCCTCTAGCTTTCCAGAGTTCATAGGCCATTGTCCTACCCAGACAATTTCATCTGTAAGCCATTTTAAAGGTAGAGCCTTTGGTTCCTCTGAAAGTTTATCATTTGTACTTTATGTACAGCCTGGATGGTTGGTATCTGTTTTCCATAGTGCCTTATTACTTTTTGCCTACCATCTAAAGATTATATATGATTTGCATCTGATATTGGAGGAATGTTAATCTGGGTATTCTATTGTTGCAACAGATTAAACCCCAGTGATTTATTGCTATGCCTGCTACAAATGGTTTTAACCTTCCTCTCTGTCCTTCCGGTTCAATGCAGACAACCCACCTAACACTCTGGCGTACTCTAGATAGAGTTCCAATCCCTAAAAATTGAACATTTATCTCTCTTAGAGGCCATCTCTGAGGCCAGGACTTTTGGGTTATAATAGTCACGTCTGCCCCAGTATCCACCAAACAAGTAATAATTTTATTATTTATTCTTACTTTTATTCTTACTTTCAACTGAGGCCTCTGATCACTTATAGAAGTTTGCCAAAATATGCATTTTTTGTCTCCCCCAGTCATGTCTGATTCCTCATTACTAGCCAAACTGAGTGGGATCATCTTTTTTTATTAATTTTTAAAATTTTAATTAGAAAGAAAATTATTTTACATGTCAATCCCAGGTCCCTCTCCCTCCCTTCCTCCCCTGTCCCCCCCAGCTACCACCCTACCTATCCCATACCCTTTCTGCTCCCCAGGGAAGGTGAGGCCTTCCATAGGGGGTCTTTAAAGACTGTCATATTCTCTGGGATAGGGCCTAGGCCAACTCCCTTGTGTCTAGGCTCAGGGAGTATCCCTACATGTGAAATGGTATCCCAAAGTCCATTCCTATGCTAGGGATAAGTACTGATCCACTACAAGAGGCCCCATAGATTTCCAAGATCTCCTCACTGACACCCACATTCGGGGGTTTGGACCAGTCCCATGCTGGTTTACTAGCTATCAGTCTGGGGACCAAGAGCTCTCCCTTGTTCAGGTCAGCTGTTTCTGTGGGTTTCACCAGCCTGCTATGGACCCTTTTGCTCCTTAGTACTATCTATTCCTCCTGTGAGAGATTGTCCTCCACAGTGACTGTGAATGACCTAGCCTTTCTTGATGTGGGGGCCTCCGAGAGTTCCCCCAAGGAATTTCCTGATTGTAATGGGTTTCCTTATATGTCTGTGGTCAATCTACATTCATTGGTCCAGTGTCTGCCCTTACCACATCTCCTACATAATCCAGAAGGTAGAGGCCTTCTATATGAGATATTGTTGGAATTTCCTTGCCTACAATTTCTCCTAGTATGTCCTATTCTGCCACAGTTGAAACATCTAGGCTCCTGGTGCCTTCTCAACCCTCTGGGGATTGCTCTTCCTATCCAAGTTTCCTGTTTCATTACAGTGATAGCATCTGGCCTCTTGATCCCTTTTCTCCCCCCCCCAACTTTTTAAATTTGAATTAGAAGCAGGATTGTTTTACATGACAATTCCGTTCCCTTCTCCCACCTGTCCTCCCCTAGCACCCCCCCAACTAAAACCTTATCTGTCACATATCTTTTCTGCTCCCCCTGGATGGTGAGGCCTTCCATAGAGTATCATCAGAGTCTTTCGTATCCTTTGGGATAGGCCTAGGCCCACTCCTGTGTGTCTTGGCTCAGGGAGTATTCCTCTATATGGAATGGGCTCCCAAAGTCCACACCTATGCTAGGGATAAATACTGGATCCCCTTTTTGACCCCTGGAAGTTGCTTCCTCTTCCCAAGCTCCTGCATCATCATCTTTAGAACATTTAACCTCTTGGTGTCTTTTTAAACCTTTTGAGATGTTCAAGCTTGGACATCTCTTTCAGATGACTTTAGGGTTTAGTTGGAATAGACCTAGTTAGGATGTGACATTAGTAGATTATTATATCTTCTTTATTATACCTTCACCTTTATGATTGTTAATTATAGATAATTTACACTGTTAAGTTTTAATCTTCTTTATACTAAAATGAGAATTTTAGGGGAATCCTGTTTAGAGGTAATGTTGACCACGCCTACTTGGGGCTAGACACAGGTGTCGCTGACCATGCCTGTTTGGGTATGGTCAGAGTGATGTGGGAAAGGTTTAAGTAGTTAGGGGCATGCACTCGGGCCATGTCTCTCACTCCCTGCTGCCTGGCTAAGCGCACTTGCATGAGTACTATTTCTTAATAAGCTACCTGGTATCCATCTAGATCTGACTTCACATTGTGATCAGCAATGGTTGCTGCTGCATGCTTCCTTGCTTTACAACCTCATCAGTGTTGTGTGCATCAGTCTTCCTCCAGGCAGCTGCTCTTATACATATATACTGACTTCTCACTAGTTTTAGTTAGCTTTTCCATGGAACAGAGTGAGAAAGTGTTGGGGGAAATCTTTGGAACCCAGCTCATTCTGTCACCAAATCTTCCTTCATCTTACCTTTTCCAGATGGGTTCTCATTTCTTATGTTAATGATTTTTACTATCTATTAATTTATCTACCTATCTTCTATTTATCATCTACTTATGTATCAATCATATATTATATATTAAGGTTACTTACATGAGTATGGGACAGGGTTTACTTAGAGGAGCAGAAAAATTTCAAGAACAGCAAAGTCCACCCCAGCATGGGTGACAGTTCACAAAATTGGGAACCTGGAGCTCATTCAACAGACCACAGGCAGCTCAGCAGGTTGGAGAGTGTCCTTTCCATGTGACTCAGTTGGTCTAAACCTCTTCCAGGCATCTGGGCAGGTCTCAGAGACTTCTTTTCAGCTTGGCTTTTCTCAGAGTGACTTTCATGAGCCTTTGTTTATTCTTGGATGGGAGGGGCCTAGTGCATGTGACTAGTTGCAGGAACTTACTGAAGCTATTTTGATTTTTTTTTTAACTTTTGGGCTTAAGAAGTTTCTTCCAAGATGGAATGTTTGAATCTAGGATGAGACTGCTACACCACATCAGCCCACTACAGCTCTGAGTAAGAATTACTTGTGTTAATGGAGGGAGTGGTGACTCAGAGCACTTCATCGTTAGTGGTCAGAGATGCTCCTGGACCAGTAGGATGAGTTCCCTACATTGTGGGGGAAAATGTTTAATGATATGACAAGGGAAAAGTCACAGTGAACAGGGCTCTATGGGTGAGGCTGAGCCAGTGGGAGGCATGGCTGCATTCCATGGAGGCAGGGTTAGCCAATGGGGAACACTGCTGGGATCTGTCTGGTTTTCTACCAAGTGGTGTCTATATCGCTGCTGTTTCCTTCTCCAGGGGTGAGGGTCCTCCCCATCTAAATTAGTTACCCTTCTGTTGTTGTGATGAAATACTATGTCCAAGGCAGTTAATAGAAGGGTCTATTTCAGAAGGGGGCAATAATAGCCGCAAGTGGCCAGAACAGAAAGCTGAGAAATTACATTCTTTAAGCATGAACACAAAGCAAAGAGAGCAAAGTAGAGGTACAGTGTAAAAACTCTGTCTACAGTGCAACAAGGCTACAAAGCTCTCAAAGCTTGCTTTCAGTGACTTAATCCCACCAGTAAGGCCACACATCCTAAGCCTCCCCAAACAGTGACATCGCTGGCAACCAAGTGCTGAGTTGTGCAGAGACTGTTGTGTTTGCTGTTAAGTGGGTGAAGTTTTGTGAAGGGTTAAGAATGTGTATATTGAAATAAGATTGTTTTTAATTTAAATAAAAAAATAAATAAAAGCAAAATCCAAAAAAGAATGTGTATATTGACAGAATTCCGGGACTTTGGAAGATTTGGAACTTAAGGTGGCCAGTGGTCATTTGACTTGTGAAGTTTGAATCATTTTAGCTCCTTTAATTTTTTTGTGATGACTGATTCTGAATGGGTTATTTTCTGCACTGTTCTATGGTTGCAGGAGATGATTCACCCACCTGCAGTGGGCCTTCTAATTCTACAGGGAAGTCACTCTGCTCTTAAGAGTCTGTCCATGTGCCTTGTCATCTCTACTCAGTGCCACAAAACATGGCAGAACTGACGTCCTGTTTACTGGTGCTGACCTTCATCTCCACAGACTTCACACACTCTGTCCTCAAGGAAGGATTTGGAAACTACAATGAAAAGATGAATACACTCATGGCCAACCTCAACTGTGATGTCACACATTGCCTGAACTCCCCATGCAATACAATGAGATGGCCCATTCTCACTCTCCCTATACATTGATGGACCAATCAGTGTTGGCTTTTTATAGGACTACATCACACCAAGATGATATAGTAAAGTGATGTAAACCCATAGACTTTGCTTAGGAATTGAACCCTAATGTGAAATACATCTTCCAATCAGGATCAAGTGTACCTGACTCTCAGCCAAGCTGCTTTAAGGGCATCCCCAGGGTAGAAATGACCATGAGGGTCAATGTCCTAGAGCTGAGTGCATGGCCTCTGGAGCCTGCTTTCTCTATGCCTTAGGGTCCGGTATCTCAGTATGGGGACTGTGTTTACCTCAAAATGGGTAATTGCTCTCTGAGGGCCACTCCCTAGCAATCTCGGTGTCCACCCTAAGGGGCAGAACCCACATTAAGGTCAACAGAAAACAATAGAGACACAGGGCTCTAACATTGTGACCACACTGCATAGTCTCCATGATATGAAGACATCTTGGGCATAGACGAGCACTCAGCAACAACTTCTCATTCCATGTGAGTTGATCCTGCCTCTACTCACTTCTTCCTTTGGGGCACCTACCTTCTCTGCTTTTTCCTTTTTGTTTTGTGTCGGGGGAGGGATGATTGTCAAAAGACATTTGATTTTGCCCTGATCTATTTCAATATTTAAAATACTGTTACCAGAATCACTTTGCTTCACAGTTTCAGTTTGCGTCTTTAAGAGCTTGCTTCTGTAGGTCTGCTTTGGGACCTATCTGGGCTGTTGATCAGTACTGAACAGAAATCTTGCCCTGTGGCTCAGCTCCAAGGCAGATGCAGCTCTCTGAGAGAGGCAGGGTGGTTTCCTGTGAATCTGGTGCAGAGGTCAGGGCTCAGAGTCCTCTGTGCTCCAGAACTGCAGACAGACAGACAGACAGACAGGAGAATCGGGGGCTCAACAGAGAAGCCCTGTGTGGTGTACAAAGCCATCGGGCATCTGCAGGGAATGCTGACAGACCAGCCTTTGCATTTGCAGGGACAAGTGTTGGCCCTGGAGACTCTGCGTTGCTTGGTTCTTCAGTGGAGGGGGGGGAGAGGTATCAAAAGCTCAGGTCCTGCTCTCAAGCTCACCCTGCAGGAGAAAGGCCTTGATCTTTCACAGGGAAGAAGACACACTTCCTTGTTCAGGGCATACTTTGGTGTGGGTTCTTTGTTTCCATGTAGTCAACAGCCCACTCATGAATCTCCAGCAAAGCTCTGGGACATCTCAGTCCCATGGAGACACTAGAGAGAGCAGATCTGCTTTACCACATGCTGATCAGTCCAACTGCTTCTTGGCTTGAGAGGTTTATTTGCTTAAAGAGGCTTGGGTGACTAAAGGTAGATAGGTGTATGAGGCATGGGGCAGACAGACTTGAAGCTGAGCAGGGGTGATAGCCTAGAAATTTGGGGCCTAGGTTGAAGCTGTGTTCACGCCTTTCATTCTGTGTTTCCAGGTCTGACAGAGCCTGATACCTTTTCTGGTAGACAGAAGCCTCCACCAGGCCCAGGGAAGGGGGTGATATATATCTACCCCACTGGCCTTATCACTCACAAGGAGTGGCTTCGGGTGACCAAGAAGAAATGGACAGTTGTGGACAGAGGTATGTCCATTTCTTTCCCCAAGGGGCAGGGCCATCTGTGCCAACGGCAAGCCATGCTGTAACTGTTCTATGCTTGAACCCCCTGCACCCAGACCCAAGCTTGCTTCCCCAGAAATGTATTTCAGTCTGTCCTAGAGAAGCCTGGCCCACTCCTTGATGTGGCTGGTCGTCTCTAGGTCCAAAAAGCCTGTGCTGGGGGCCATTGGTATGCGTTAGAAGTTTGGCATATATGCCTATAGGAGCTCTAGGTCTCAGAATATCATAGGACATGATCAGATGCTACAGAGGGATACTGCCCACCACAGGCAGGGTTTCCTTTTGTTCTGGGTCTATTGTGTTCAGATTGTGTGAAGAGTTCAGATTATTGTATTATGTTGACAGATGATGCCATATTTTTAATTATGTGCTTTCTACAGCAACAGCAACCACTACCAGCTGTCCTAGTAACACCTGGCTGAACCTCATGTGACATGATGGCTGCTCTACACCCTATGTCTCCTTGACCATACCTGTGGCATACTAATTCCCAGTGGCTCACTCTCCAATGGCAATGAATAATTACACGTCTGTGGTAGAGTTTGTCCTGCAGGGATTCTCTGGGGATCCTGGGTTCCAGGCTTTCTTCTTAGCCTTCTTCTTCCTTTTTTATATCCTGGCTCTTGCAGGAAACACCCTCATCATCATGGCCATCAGCCTGAACCCAAGTCTCCACACCCCCATGTACTTCTTCCTTGCAAACCTGGCCCTGTTGGACATTGTGTGCACATCCACAGTTCTTCCCAAGCTGTTGGAGGGTCTGGTGGGTAAGGGCAGCCACATCTCTTATAAGGGATGCATGACCCAGCTTTTCTTCCTAACCTGGTTTCTGGGGGCTGAGCTGCTGCTGCTCACTGCCATGGCCTATGACCGCTATGTGGCCATCTGCCGCCCACTGCACTACAGCCTGCTGATGAGTCGACCCGTCTGTGTCCTACTCGCAGGCAGTGTGTGGCTCATCAGTGCTGTCAACTCATCTGTGCACACTGGCCTAATGGCACAGCTCGATTTCTGTGGCCCCAACAAAATTCGTCACTTTTTATGTGAAATCCCAACACTGTTGCAGCTGTCTTGCAGCCCAACTACCATTAACAACATCATGACTGTCTTTGCAGATGTTTATTTTGGTGTGGTCAACTTCCTATTGACCATGGTATCCTACAGTTTCATCATTGCCAGCATCCTGCGCATCCGCTCTGCTGAGGGCAAGAGGCGTGCCTTCTCCACCTGCTCTGCCCACCTGGTGGTGGTCACCCTGTATTACTCCACTGTCATCTATACCTATGTGCAGCCTGGCTCCGGGTCCTCCTTGGAAAATGGCAAGGTGGTTGCCTTATTGTACACAGCAGTCAGTCCTACCCTGAACCCCCTAACCCACTCTCTGAGGAATAAAGATGTCAAAGTGGCTCTCAGGAAGGTGTTTCCATGTGTCTGTTGATGAACTAGTGGGATCATATGACTGAGAATCTGATGCCATGGCAAGGAACAGAGTGACAGTTCATATAACAGATGTAAATGTAATGTGCCTCTCTTTGAGGAGCCACTGCCATTCCTTTCGTGAGTGTGGGCATCCAGGTTTGGGGCAGGCTGCATGTCTATAGCCTTGTGTCTGTGATGTAGGGGTTTTTGGCATCCTGTGTTGGAAAAAACCACTGAGACCCTGATATTGGATTGGAGGAGAATTGTGTCTGGTAGCTCCATGGTCTCTGCACCACTGAGAGGAGAGAAAACAAGCAATCTGCTTCCCATACCAGTGATGCCCAGGAAGTGGTGGGTTGACTTCTCGATTCCTCTTCAGGTGGGAAGCTCTGTTATCATAACAGAGGGTGTCAGCCCTTTCTTAGAGTACACAGAAGCCTCTCCAATTGACTCGGAGTACATTCTAATTCTCGCCTCTGAGTGCTGTGTCCACAGGATCCTCCTTTACTCCGTTCTCTCCTCCAGGGAATTTCCTCTAGGATGTGATAAGACCTGCATCATTTGTTGCTGTTGTTAGCAATATCCAAATGTACAGCTGCCTTTCTGTCTCTTCTCTGAATCTATTGGTATAGCTGGAAGACCTTGATTTCTTTGCTAACTGCTTGTTCATGTGGTGTTCAGGGTACCAGGTTACAGGAACCAGCCATTTCCATCTACCCAGGGGGCTCTAAGACTTGAACTCTGGTTATCAGGCTTGACAGCAAGTGTCCTACTGGCTGAGCCATCTCACCTGCCCTACACATTTGTTTCTGAGAGGTGTTTTCTACTCTGTATCCCGGGTTTTGATGTCCACAGCACCTTACCGAAAGAGTTCAAGCATAGTGAATTGGACAGGATTTAGCAGGCCACCGGAGTACTTGTCACCATGGCTCTACTGTTGAGTTGTTGCTTGATATGTTACCCATTGTATTGCCTACCTGTCCATCTATCTTACTCATTTCAAAACAAGCTGCAAACATTGATTCACTCTTCTTTAAATACATTCATGTGCATAGCAGAGACCATCATTTGCTTATAGGTTATTTTTTTTAATGGCTTAGGTAGAGCTCTTAAGGTAAAATTTCACACATGAGTTATGGTATCATTTAATGAGTTTTGGAACACACACACACACACACACACAGAGAGAGAGAGCGAGAGAGAGCG